TTTTTGTTTTTTTTTAAAACTGATCCCAGCGCCAATGCCTCCATTGACTGTTTTAGTGCTGCAATGTAAACATTGTAGTTTCTATCAAACTGCAATGTTTTACATTGCAGCACTAAGTGTAATAGGGACACTGCAGCCAGACCACTTCAATGAGGTGAAGTGGTCTTGGTGCCTGTAGTGTCACTTTAACCTCCATGCTTTCCCTGTTGTATCAGTCTATTATTATTGTATTTTATTTTTCCCAATTGTACAGCGCTGTGGAATATGTTGGGGCTTTATAAATACAAAAATAAAAAATAATGGTACTGTGTGCACTAGTACTGTAAAGTGTGTGCAAGCTTATGTACTATGGAAGGAATGCCTAGGAGTTTGAGTTTTTTTATGGCACTTTCCATGCGCATGTCAGTGTACTCTGTAGAATCATGGGAAAATGTGAGTTCCTGGTTTATACACAGAACAGCCTCCCAGCATAGGAGGTAGGAGCTAATAAAGGATAGTCTCCCAGCAGAGGTTGTAGTAGCTAATAAAGGTTAGCTTTCCAGCTGCGGTGGAAGTAACTAATCAATAATAGCCTCTAACACAGAATAGCCTTCCAGCAGAGGTGGTAATAACAAATAGAGGAGAGCCTTCCAACATTTGTAGTAGTCACTAATGCAGGTTAATCTTTCAGTAGAGCTAGTAGTAGCTAATAGAGGATAGCCTCCTAGCAGAGGTAGTAGATAGTAATAAAGGTTAGCTTTCCAGAAGAGGTGGAAGTAGCCAATGCAGGTTAATTTCCTAGCAGAGGTAGTAGGAGCTAATGCAGTATTGACTCCCAGCAGAGGTGGTAGGAGCTAACAGAGAATAGCCTTTCAGTAGAGGTGGTAGGAACTTATACGAAGGCTAATCTGACAAACTAAAATCAAGAATGAGACCTATTATTCTATAACATTGTTTTGCTGTAACATCAGGAAAAAAAACAAATGTCTCCTGTATGTACCAGGAACAATGACTAGAGGGCAATTTTTATGCAAAACCAGCTTTAGTTGTCATTCCAGCAAGGAAGGGGTCTAACAAGCAGAGTACAGGGTTTTATTATGTAACCTAATGGGACTGTGTCCATTTGTGCCTCAGTGTGAATCACGGAGCAGCTTTCTGCTTTGAACTTTGCTGGGATCAGACTTTCCTGCTGCCCTCTCATCCTGCTCTGTAATTGCTACTTCAAAGGAAGCGCAGAGACCTGTTCGATCATGTACAACCCCAAGAAATTAGTGGGATGATGCTCTCTGAAGAAATTTCCACCTGAAACAGACATTTCTTGGCAATGTGTACTGAGACAGTCAGAAGGCTGCAACTGGAGAAATCCTCTAGACTGTAAGCTCACGGGCTTTCTTACAAGCCCCCGCGGCAGGATTCTCTTCTACGTTTGTATCAGTATGTCTAGTAGTGTATCCCGTCTTTTCTTTTTGTTTTATTTGTAAAGCCTGTGGATAGGAGTTCTAGATAAGAACAGTAAAAAAAAATAACAATCTTATTACCGGAATCTGACGTGTAGCCAAGCTAGCGATGAACTCAAATATTGGTCAACGAGTACTGACCATCAAATGTTTACCTGATACACAAAGTGTCGTTACTGGTGGTATGTTATGCAGACTACCCATTTTAACCCTCTTAAACAAAGGGTTTTAAAAAAGTAATGAGAATTTATTTTATTAAACCACATCACAAAAATAACAGCAAGGATTTGGAGCCTTAATGTATGGATGTAACCCCTGTGCTGCCAGAACAACCTAATATTCATCTTTAGGAGTTAGGCTGCTGTCTCGCTGGCAGGTAAGCAGCAACACATGGTGTGTACAAATCTTAGCACTCACCTAAGTTGACAAAACTCATGACCATGTCGGCGTCATTGAGGAAGTTGCTGTCCTGTTGACTGGCCAAGGGTGGCCCCTGTGTGGTGAAGATGGCTTTGTAGGGATATGAAAAGCCTTCTGCCTCCTCTTCTTCCACTGTCATCGCATTGTACAAATCCAGCATGAACATTGGAGCAGAGTTTTGTTTCCCATACAAGTGAGGTCTCGGTCGGTTTGGAAGTCCCAAAATAGACAAGATTTCCCTCTGCATTTCCCTACGCTCCTGGCTCCGTAATCGCCTTTGGATGAAGCTGGAGTGGACCTCATTGTCAAAGGTAAAGTCTGCCTGTATGGACCTCAGCAACAAGTAGCCCCAAAGGAGTATGGAACACGTCTTGTTCTTCAAGGGAACATTCATTTCCCCCAGATGTCTATGGCAAAAAGCTATAACACCTGCACGTCTATCCAAGTGGGAGAGCTTAAATAAGTTAGCATGAAAAAAAAACAGTGCATGGACCTCTCTGTAGAAGTTCGCCCCGACTGGAGATGATCTAGGGCTTTCAGGGTATCAGCTAAACCCAGTCATTGTTGGTCTGTAGACTCTGATGGGGGGAGAGGAGTCTAAATCCTGTGGTTTTGTTCCTTTAGTATCTGTTCTGTCTTCTCTCTCTCACTAGCAAAGTCTAAAGTGGTGGTTACTGAAGGCAGACAGAGCTAGCAGGAGTCTGAATGCGGTGGGAGGGGCAGACAATAAAGGAGGAGGGAGTATAAAGGGAGAAATAACTTTAGTTCACATCAAATCCCATCAGGTTGCTTTCCTAAATGTTTGTTAGTCTATAGAAAGGGTGGGCTATTCTCCAGTGCTTAATTTAAAGTAAACAGATTAAGGACTGTCTGTCATTAGCATTTTTGTTTTTCTCTCTACAAGGAACAGACATCACTAGAAGTAACCCTGGTTGTTTATTCTGGGTAGACCTATTGAGATCTGTTTTATTGTTACAAGGCACATAAAACGCGTATGACCCAACCAGAGAACAGTCAATGAATGTCTGAAGTGAATAGTGATTGTGTCCAGACTGCTGTGCCTTTAATGCTCTCTGATGTGCTTAGCGTTACTGTATCACTAACAAAGATATTCTTATGCACATAGATAATTCATAGCCTGCGTGTCACTTTAGATACATCATTAAAAAAAGAGATTGTCAAAAAAAAAATAACCAACAAATCAAAAACTTTAATCTCTATCTCATCCACGTTTTTCTTCCTCTGATGTCAAAAAATTTTTTTTATAGGGTGATATTTCCATTTGTCTCAAATCAAATTCAATTTATCTAAGTTGGTCTTTTCTGACTTGCTCGATCATTGAAACCTTAAACACAATATCTAATATTAAAGATGGCAAACGGAGCTATTTTTCACTTTGCCTTTCTTTTTATCAGTTATATGATGATTTTAATACATTTTCTTCAGAAACTTAATGTGGGTTTCCAAAACAGAAAATAACTCCTTTTGTGAGTGCAAGATATTCATGTAAGGATGATTTCCAAATAATTAAAAGTTTACTTTTTAAATAAGCATTAAAAATAATGCTATAGTCCTTTACTTTATATCTGTATGCAACTACTCTCATTTACAGTAAATATACGAACATGAACGTTGAGAGTGTGATGTACACCCTACTTAATGCTGGTGTGCTGAGTACATAGAAACAATCTTTAGGACCTAATATATATCAGTAAGATTTTCTACATAGAGCAAATCGTGATAACCCTTCTAAGATGATATAATCTACTAAAGTGTCAATAATCTCTGTAAAGGGTAGTTTCTAAAAATGGAAAGCGGTGGAAATAGTTACTAAAAAGCTGGAACAGCTATAATGACTGCAAAGACATATACTAAGGTGAATATAGTAACAATTAGCCCCTGATAGAAACTACAGAAAGCACAGAGAGATATATCAGTATATTAATAGTCCTAATGTGCCTTCGATGGCAACCCACTTAAATCAACAATAAGCCCCCCTTCTATTAAAACACGTTGAAATTGTACCGGAAAATAAGATATAATAAAGTACAGGTTGGGAACAGTATGTAGAGATCACATCAAGGATTGGTGTTCCAGCAAGAATCTGTCTCTACCCTAGTAGGGATGAGTATGTATACATTGCTTTAAAAAGATTGATGTTTCAAAATAATCTTTGTCTGGTCCGAGAAATAACCTGTGTCTGTAACCTACACTTGTCGGATGTGGAACACCGGAACTTTAGTCAAAGTATATGCTAAATAACAGAGCTTTGCAGTAGCTGCTAACACGTTTCGTTTCTGTACTAACTGAATCTTGGAACAAGGGATGAGTGTTTCCCTATGTCAATTCTATAAAGAGCATTAAAGAAATATGCAATAGTCCTTTACTTTATATCTGTATGCAACCACTTTCATCGTTGACTGTGAAACTATTTCAGAATGCGTAATTTATATCGTAGAAAATGGGATGGAGACTAAGACACTTTCACGGTCTGTGATCAGAAACTTGGAACAAAATGGAACTGATTACAATTCAGGACGTTACATAGAAATTAAAATTAAAGACAGACACCAAGAACAGAGAAGCACAGATGCATGGGATGTACAGATTTGGGGGATTAAATCTTTGAAACACATCTATTTGACATATGAATGGAAATTATCCAAAGATTCTATGGTATGAAGACAAATCTTAGCTCCCAGGGGCCTCACAATATTAAGAATTAATAAACAGAATATCTAATGAACACCCAGGAAGAATTGTAAAGCATATATTTGGGACTCTACGATTAAATAAATGCCGAAATGCCAAACGGCTGAGCTTGTTATCCACTAAACATGGAGTTGGCAGTGGAGCTGTAAATTAGAAGCATTCTCTCATGGCAGATCGTTTCAGTAACATCAGTTCATACAAACAACTTTGCAGACTTGTAATGTTCTTAGCCATTTAGTGTAGTAGAAATATGTGTGTGTGTGTGTATATACACTGCTCTAAAAAATAAAGGGAACACAAAAATAACACATCCTAGATCTGAATGAATTAAATATTCTTCTGAAATACTTTGTTCTTTACATAGTTGAATGTGCTGACAACAAAATCACACAAAAATAAAAAAATGGAAATCAAATTTTTCATCCCATGTAGGTCTTGATTTGGAGTCACACTCAAAATTAAAGTGGAAAAACACACTACAGGCTGATCCAACTTTGATGTAATGTCCTTAAAACAAGTCAAGATGAGGCTCAGTAGTGTGTGTGGCCTCCACCTGCCTGTATGACCTCCCTACAATGTCTGTGCATGCTCCTGATGAGGTGGTGGATGGTCTCCTGAGGGATCTCCTCCCAGATCTGGACTAAAGCATCTGCCAACTCCTGGACTTTCTGTGGTGCAACGTGACGGTGGACGGAGCGAGACATGATGTCCCAGATGTGCTCAATTGCATTCATGTCTGGGGAACGGGCGGCCAATCCATAGCATCAATGCCTTCGTCTTGCAGGAACTGCTGACACACTCCAGCCACATGAGGTCTAGCCTTGTCTTGTATTAGGAGGAACCCAGGGCCAACCGCACCAGCATATGGTCTCACAAGGGGTCTGACGATCTCATCTCGGTATCTAATGGCAGTCAGGCTACCTCTGGCGAGCACATGGAGGCTGTGCGGCCGCCCAAAGAAATGCCACCCCACACCATTACTAACCCACTGCCAAACCGGTCATGCTGGAGGATGTTGCAGGCAGCAGAACTTTCTCCACGGCATCTCCAGACTCTGTCACATCTGTCACATGTCCTCAGTCTAAACCTGCTTTCATCTGTGAAGAGCACAGGGCGCCAGTGGCGAATTTGCCAATCTTGGTGTTCTCTGGCAAATGCCAAACATCCTGCACAGTGTTGGGCTGTAAGCACAACCCCCACCTGTGGACGTTGGGCCCTCATACCACTCTCATGGAGTCTGTTTCTGACTTTTTGAGCAGACACATGCATATTTGTGGCCTGCTGGAGGTCATTTTGCAGGGCTCTGGCAGTGCTCCTCCTGTTCCTCCTTGCACAAAGGCGGAGGTAGCGGTCCTGCTGCTGAGTTGTTGCCCTCCTACGGCCTCCTCCACATCCCCTGATGTACTGGCCACAGCTCGCATTGATGTGCCATCCTGGATGAGCTGCACTACCTGAGCCACTTGTGTGGGTTGTAGACTCCGTCTCATGCTTCCACTAGAGTGAAAGCACTGCCAGCATTCAAAAGTGACCAAAACAACAGCCAGGAAGCATAGGAACTGAGAAGTGGTCTGTGGTCACCACCTGCAGAACCACTCCTTTATTGGGGGTGTCTTGCTAATTGCCTATAATTTCCACCTGTTGTCTTTCCCATTTGCACAACAGCATGTTAAATTGATTATCACTCAGTGTTGCTTCCTAAGTGGACAGTTTGATTTCACAGAAGTGTGATTGACTTGGAGTTACATTGTGTTGTTTAAGTGTTCCCTTTATTTTTTTGAACTGTGTATATCAGAGTATTGCAGTATGCAATAATACCTTTTTATTGGACTAATATAGTATTGCTTCAGACCTGAGAAAGAGAGGAAACTCTTGAAAGCTTGTCTTTGAAATATTATGTTAGTCCAATAAAAAGGTATCATTGCATACTGCAATACCCTGGTATTTTGGCATCTTGTCTACTGGACTAATATGGCTAATCCAAACTACACCAAATATATATACATATGTGTCCATTTTCTAAGCTCTTTCACAGCAGCTGACACTGGAGGGCTGTGGGGCAGGGGAGGGGGGGGGGGTAGGGAGTTAACGAAACCACACTAGATTTAAAGTAAAGCGATGTGGACATTAAGCTTAAACACAACTCCTAGAGCAGCATTTGAATGGTGCAGTGCGTTGTCTTCCTACGCATATGCAGTACTGGAAAGCATTGGATTGGTGAGGTCAATCTTAATGATTTCAGCCTGAGTGACAGAACTGCTTTGGGGAGACCGGCAGGGCTGAAAGATACATAAATTTCACCTTTCAGACCCTCACACGGACACACGTACACATTGAGATAGGACACAGGAAACTATAGTGTTAGGAAAACATGTTTGTCTCCCAACTGCTGTCACTGGTGTATTGGGCAATTACCCAGAAATCCCAATATCCTTTACAAAATATGGATATGGAAATAAAAACTTTGCACTGTCACATGGATTAATATATCTGCTACTCTATATTATAAGTATATTGCACAATGTTATTTGTTTCTGATTCCCAGCTTAGTAAATTGAGTTTATGTATGAGTGTTGAATTCTGAAATGATTAGTCAGCTCTCTATGCTTAAGTTTCCACTCACTTTAACGATGACTCAGCGATGTGGAGACCTAGCCATCAAGTGGTAGCACTGGACTGGAATTTAACAGATAATGTTCTAACTAGGGTTAAATGCCCAATTGCATCATATTTAACCAGATTCAGCAGTATTCAGCAGTAACACAAGGTGATCATATTCTGTTTGTTACTAAACTTGAAGTTTTCAATAAATAGGAAAGTCCAGACTCGGTGCTGTAAGATTTTCTTATCTGTAATCAAATTGTGTGTTTGTCCTACATTTGTTGGTCCATCCTCTTCCATTCAGAGAGTGATTAGCATGATAATGATCTCTCCTAAAAAAACAAACAAAAACAAAAAAACAGCAACAACATAAAGCATATGACCTGACAAACAGGCCCCGGGGCCGACATATTGCCCGCCCTTAGGCTATGGCAGCTATACTAACTGAAGTGTCTTCTACTCATGTTCTAAATAAATGTTCGATGGGTACAAATATTATTTTTCTACATGGGTTTTTTGTTTCTTCGTATTTTGCTTCATATATGCAAGGGAAATTTTTAAAATGTGCTTTCTGGGAAATGTCATGAGCATTTTAAGACATGTAGCCTTTTATCCCACAAGCAGGCTAGGGATCTGGTTACTTTAAAATACCACTGTGGAAAGTGCCAGTCTAAGTACCAGATACATTGCAACGGACCTACATACATTAGAGCTCAGCATCAGTGCATTTATAGCTCCAGGGCTAGAGTTCACTCTCGTGACACTTGGAGCTTTGCCGTGATAACCGCGGCAACGCTCGATGCTCGCGAGAGTAGGACCCGGAGGAGCTGCAGGCTGAGCTCCCTGGTCCTCTCTCCCTCCCTCCCCTGCCGGCTGCCCGCATAGTGCCTGCGGACAGGAAAGGGAGATTTCTGATCTCCCTCCCTGGTCCGCAGGCACATTGCAGGGCTGGCACTTGGACAATGCCAGCCCTGCATTAGCCGGCAGGGGAGAATCACATAAAAGAAAACCATAGTTCAAACAGTGAGGATGACATTTATGCATAACTAATTTTGTTTCTGTTCTTAAGTCTCCAATTATTATATTTTGAAGAAAAATGTCTTGCAGTTTCAAAAAAACTATAGAAAGTACCACCTTATGGGAAGGGGATGACACTGTGTGTTAATGAGAGAGTAATTAAGCAGAGTACACGGATTAAATGAGTATGTTTAGGCAATCTGTTGACAAGATCTTACAACATCTTACATGCAACACTCTTGTATATTTGTGTTTGTTCTTTAGAACATTAACTGTTAAATTCCACCGAGAGAGATTTACTGGTTGTGAAAGTTCCTTCAAAATGACATCATTTCTTAGTTTCCTGAAAAGGCAAAGCAGTGTGTCATGTGTCACATGACCCAGTGAGATGATTTTTGAGCTTTGTGAACTTTGTCTACCTGTAATTCTATTTTGGTCAGGTACCATAAAAATGAGAAAAAAAAATCTTCATTGTGAGCGTTCTAAAACAGCTGGATAGGAGCATACTGGTTATTTTTGTGGTTTGATGCAAAGAGTCTTTAAGTGCTGTTCCCTCCATTTTCTTTAAAAACAAAACAAAAAGGGTCTGAGAAGTTTGATAAAAACAGTGGCTCTTGAACTGCTTGGTTTTAAATGAAGATTCGAAGCACAAAAGCCACTATAGAGCACTGTAGTGGTTATGGTGCCAGGAGTGCCCTACCTCCCTCCCAGGGTAAGTGGACAAAGCATTTAAGAAAAATTTGACAACTTTTGTGGGATCCCCAAGCTCCCATGTTGAGTTTGGCTTCTTCTGCTCCCTTAGCTAAGCATGTTCATTGTTTATTTTCTGAGAGTGCTCAGTTGGCCCTTAGCTCAGCCTAAAGCAGATCAGCGCTGTGGGCTCCCAGGCGTACCTAGGTAAATTGTCAAACCATTCTTCTTAAATGTTTTTACTACCTACTATGGGAAAGCACTACCAGCACCATAACCACTATGACGGGCAAAAGTGTTGTGGTTCTTGGAGCGTTCCTTTAAGTCTCTTTAATCTGCATCATTCTCTATAAAGTAAAACCATGCCATGCGTTCCCTCAATGTCTAACCTCATGGCCTGGCATAGCTCCTTAAATACTTTACAAAATGCACCTTCCATCATAGAATGCTGGAAGACATATACTGATCGGTCTGAGAGGCAGAGAGTGATCAAAGCTCTGCAATATGTTAGTCACCTTTCCAGTAATAATAGCAATGCAAGCCTATCTCCTCCTCACAGCTATAATTATTTCTATCCATGCACAAACAGCTGCCCATACCTGCTGGAGAGGGGCTCCCAGTTCCTCCCCATTGTGTAATGACTATCTTATCTGGTCTGGCTGACTATTATTCTGCTGATAAGGTTTGTTGAGAGAACATTCCTTAGACCTGACAACTCTAAGATATCTTACAGATCCTAGTAGTAGGGAAATAAATCTCGACAGTCCCAGCATCCTGCAGGAGTGGGTAAGCCCTACATATTTAGCATCCACCTTCTTTTTACATAGTTTGCAAATAGTAACCACATTGTCTCATAAAAGTCATAGATGCCCATAGTGTGCTGCAGGGCAGGTTTAACAGAAAACATTAAGGCAATAGAGAATAGGTATAGATAAAAGCCATTTATAGATTTACATTGTTCATTCACTAAATTGTGAATTGCAAATTTTAGGCCGAAATAGCCAAGTTAGACAATTCATTTTTTGAGTGAATATTTGTAATATTCTTGTCAGTTATCTACAACCCCCAGTTCAGTGAATACACCTTCTTAATATAACAAACTCAATTTTCCTCTACTTCTTCCAAACATTCTCAAACACTCATATAAAAATGTGCAATATACATTATAATCATGTGTTTTAAAGCACCAATGAACTCCAGAAAACATAGACCATGGAGGAGAAGAGCTATTACCCTTATTGTGTCTGATTGCCTGTCATCGCCGTGCAAGTCAATAATGCTTTTTTCAAATAGCCTTTAAATTAAGTACCATACCAAAACATATTCAAATATATACCTATACAATATCAGCTCGTGCAAACTGCACTAGGAGGCAGGAGAAAAGACAACTAACTGAGCCATTGTTCAAAGTCTGTGTTTCAAAATGTAACTATAACTGGAATCATGGACCGTAAGCTGCAGCCCCGAGCTGTTATAAATGTAGAATTA